TGCATCCATTTCCCACCTCGCACCACACAATCTGCCAGGGCTGGGCACCCAAAAACCCTGCCTGCTGGGGGGCTTTGGGCAGCTCAGGGGCTCTCTGTGCATCCCCTCCTGGGCCCTGTGACTGCTGCCTGTGCAGCCCCAGCTCCGCGCCCGGTGCTCTTGGGTTTGGTGTTGGGTTTGCCTCCCCTGCACCTCCCCCGGGGTCCAGCTGATGGAAGGGCTTTGTTCTGTGCGGCTAAAAATAGCCAGGACTTGGTGTAACTCGAGATGAGCCCCAAATACTTCTCCTCCCAGCTCTGCTGCTTCCACGGGCTCTGCACGTGTCTTCCTCCGTCCCCCTAATCACGGGTGAAATGAGGGCCAGAGAGCGTTTCCCCCGGGTTATGACAAGATGGGAGCACCAAGGGATCCTTCCACAAGCCACCAACCTCCCCAGGCACCAGGGAACACCTGGGCTAAGGCTCTTTCTGCTGCAAAACCCCCCACAGGATCACACAGGGGAGAAAAGCATCCTCTCCACGTTCAGGGAAAATTTAGAAGCGGTGCCGCAGGCTGCCATGGAGACAGGGCTCTGTTTGCAATCCTCCTGCTTTTTTATTGTCTCTCCCCCTCTCCCAGGCTGCTGAAAAGCAGCCAGGAGCAGGGCTGGCATTGCCCCCCGTGCTCCTGGTGGCCACACTGCCCAGCCCACCTTCCCTGGCTGCCCAGCTGGGTCCCCTCTCTGCTCCCTCACCTCCTCCAGGTGCCACTTTTGGCACCTCCCTGCTGCGTCTGGGGGACCATAAAGCGGGTTTCTCTCAGCCTTGTTGGGTTCAGGGGCACCAGGAGCCCTGCCAGGGTGCCCAGCCCTGCTCTCCCTCACTTTGGGGATGGCCAGGGAGGTGAGGACATGAACAGCCAGGGGCTGGGCTGGGGCATGTTCCTGAAATCACAGGCTGGGGACTGTCTGAGAAACAGGAGGGGAAATAACCGGCCCTGGCAGCAGCTGAAACCCCTCAATCCCTCTCCTTACCCTTAGGAAAACCGGGAGTATCAGAGGAAGAACTTCTCTGGGGTAGGAACTAAGGATCTTCCAGCAAACCAACCTCTGTGTCAAATCTAGGCTTGACTTCACAGAGCTGAGCTCCAAACCTGATTATTTCTGTGCTGCCCTTCCCTGTTTGTGATACCAGTTACACCCTGGATTTGTCCAAATGTGGGTATTTCCTCCCCTGCCTGATGCTCAGTGAGGTGGGAGCTGAGAAAAGGCAACTTCTGCAATCTCAGGCCTTGCTGCAAAAGCATCTGCTGCTGCTGTCCCCTCAGCCTTCAGCTCCCTCTCTTGTTTCCCAGGCTGTTACCTCCCTACCCCTGCTCTGCTTCAATGCAGCAGCAGCAGCAGAAGGGGGGAAAAAACCCAAAAAACAACAAGACAAATTCAGTTCTCGCTTCCTATTTTCCTCCTCCTCTATTTTTCAGACTTGGCCCGTTGGTGAAAACCACCCCTTTAATGCCTGGCTGCCAAATAGAGCAATTCTCTCAACAGAGAAATGTACATCAAAGTTGCAAGGAATATTCAATTAACCTTTAAAGGAGATCATCCCTAACTGGCTTAGAGAGACGTCGCTAAATTGTTTAAAAAAGCTAAACACAGGCACTTGGGTTTCGGAGGAGCAGGTCTGTGGAGACAGTCCTGGCTGCTGGCTCGCTGAAAAAAAAAAGGGCAATTAAATATCTAAATGTTCTTTCCAACTGGCATCCTGAGCTAGAACCTCTGACAGGGTTATCTTTGCTTAGGCAAGTGGCCAAATCCACGGCTCTGCATCTAGGAAACGTGGAATAACTGAGAGAACAGCGATGGCAACAGCTCCTGGGATCTCTGGAGAGACGTCTGGGAGGCTTTTGCTTTTCCAGGGAGAGGGCAGAAAGCTCCCCTCCAGCTCTCAGAGCCGAGCACTGCCAGTGCCCAGTGGGGAGGGATGCTCCATCCTCCACAAGTCAGAGGCTCAGGGGATGAGGCTCTTCTGTAAATCATTAAAAATCCTCTTATCTGGGAGCGTGCACAGGCATTGCTACCCTCTGCTGGAGGGAGCTGCTTCCTCAGAGGCCTCTGTGCTGCCACGAGGAGATAAAGGCAGATCTTTTAGCCCAGGAGGAAAACTCCTGCCTGTGAGGAAGAGGAAGGACAGGCTGGGAATGCTGCTGAGAGGAGCCAGCCAAGGGCTGGCAGGAGCCAGCAGGAGCCAGCAGGAGCCCCAGCACAGCTTGTGCAGCCCCTGCCCCTGGATTTGCCTCCCCAAACCCGGGCAGTGGCCACCTCTGAGCACACTCAGCGCTTCCCACGAAGGATTTGGGAATTGTTCACCCAGCTGAGCCCTCCTGCTCCTGGTGGGGCTCCTCTCCGTGAGCAAACAACCCCTGTGCAGGAGAGTCTCTGCGAGCCACGTGCCAGATCTTTGTGCATTCCCGGCTATTTTTAACTAATCCCTGATGGAAACTGTCCGCTGGGGTCCTGCCACTGCTGCCCTCCCTGCTCTGGTGTCTCCTCCCTGCATCCTGCCCCTTCCACAGCTCCTGCACCTCTGCATCTCCCGGGAAAAAGCCACAGCAGCAAACCCAGGGGCAGCTGGCAAACATGGAACACCAAGGAAACGAGGCAGGGGGGTGGATTTTAAGACCTCCCAAGAGAAAGAAATACTTAAAAACACGCAAGTCAGGGCTTAGGGGGGAGACTGGGGGGAAAAAAACCTCTGAGTTTCCTGTCAGGGTGAAGTGCTGGAGGATTAAGGTCCCACAGCTCGGGGTGCAGGGCATGGGTGGCACTCGTGGCTCTGTTATGGAGCCGTGCTGGGCCATGGTCCTGTCTCTGCCAGCCTGGGCTGCTTTAGGAGCAGTTCTAGCACCAGTTTTAGCACCAGTTTTAGCAGCAGTTTCCCGGAATAGCTGCAGTGCTACTACGTTTTCACACTTGTCCACGCAGCACCTTGTACCACAGGCACTGAGCTCCGTCCGTGGGTGACTGAGTGTCCCCGGGAGGGACCCTGGAGCTCAGCTCTGGCTGCCAGAGCTGTTTCTCAGTGGTCTCAAGGAGAGCAGGTCAATGATCCGGGGTTTTGCTGCCTCTTGCACCCAGAGTGGCCGCTCTGCCCACCCCTGCGTGCTGCACATGCCTCACCTGAGGCTCACCCGAGCATGACTGGACCTGCCCACCGCAAAACAGAGGCTCCCAGAGAGGGGCAAAACAGTGATTTAGGGCTGAGGACACACCAGCAGAGCAAGGGAGGCGCGGGATGGAGGAGCATCCCCATCCCTGCTCCGCGGCCAGCACAGACACCCCCCCTCCTTCTGCCCAAACCTGGGGTGGGGAAGGGTCTGCCCTGCACACCCTGGGCACGGGAATCCTGCCCTGGAAATCCCTGTGCCCACCTCTGTGGCTCGCAGAGGAGCCTGGCTCTCCCGGAGCTCTCGTTTTTCCTGCCCGAGTCTCGCATCCCTTCGCCTCCCACCCGCTGCCAGCGCCGCCTGCCAGGGAAGAGTGACTAAGGGGCGGGTGGGAGGGAACGGCTCGAGCCCGATTTAGCAGCCTGCGGTGCCAAGGGCAGCGGGAGGGCCACGGGCACGGCCGGGGGGCTCCGAGGGCGGGGGGGCTCGGCCACGGGAGCCCGGAGTATCCCCGGAGCATCCCCGGAGCAGGCGCTCGAGTCCCCGAGGGTGCTTGGGCAGCTGCCACGAATTGCCCCCCCAGGGCTGATCGCGCCGAGGGTTTTGCGCTTCCAGCCCTTTGTCCCGCCGATTAATGGCCCCGGTGATTAATTGAGCGGGCAGGGCGGCTCTCGGGGGGCTCTGCAGCCCCCGGGAAAGCCTGGCAGGGGGTGTAGGGGTGAGCTGGGCACACGGGGGGGAGCTGTGTGATGGTGTGTGACAGGGCACAGCCAGGCTGGCGTGGGAGGCTGGGACCAGGCGAGGAGCAGCCGGACGGGCTCTGCCCTGGCAGGGATTTCAAAGGGAGGTTAATCAGTGTCTGGAGCGATGGGAGATAGTGGAGGCTCACGAGGAGTTTCTCCCCGGCTCATATTCCACTTGCCGCAGCCTCCAGTGCGGAAAACAGGCTCTGGGGAGGGAATTTGGACAGCCATGGAAACGCAGGCCTGCCTGGGAAAATGGGTCAGGGGCTGGTCCCTCTGAGCACAGCGAGGCACGCGTGGAAGGAGGTCACAGGCCCCACTCGTGAGCACCAGAGAGAGAAACCCCCCCAGCGCTGCTCTGCCGGGGCAGGAGGTGCCCAGGGAGGGCTCGGCACTGCTGGAAGGAGCTGACACGGGGGCCAGGGGGGTGGTGGCAGAACGGGACAGGGGAAGGCAAATGCAAACTGCCCGGGGAGAAAGGGATGTGCAGCAGGGACGCGGTGGTACCAGGTAGGGGGTGTGTGGGCATACCTGGATGGGAGCTGTCAGGGCTCCACCAGAGTCCTGGGCCCGTTGGTCCCACTTGTGTGGGACCCTCCTGCCACACCCCTGGGGACCTGCCCTGTGGCCACAGACCCCTGAAGCACGAGAGAAAGTAAGGTGATCTCTGCAGAGCCCAGGCAGGTGTCTGGCCTGTTCGGACAGACAGCAGGACGGATACTCCTCAGCCGGCTGAGCAAGGACAGGAGCGCCGCGAGCCGAGCCCGAGACCCGTCCCCGCGCTTGGTCCCCGCTGGATTCGCTGGGCCGTGCGGCTCTGGCGCTGAAGGCAGAGCGTCAGCGGGGTGAGCGGCGACAGCCCGGAGCTGACTCCTGCCACAGCCGTGGCAGCTCTCCAGCGCTGCTTTTAAGGGCGAGATTAATCCCCGGCTTTCCCGGAGCCGCGCGGGCACCCCCGGGAGCTGTGCGGGCTCTGCGCGGCACTGACCCCCCCGCCCACGCCTTCACCTGCCTGCGAAACCAGGCACAGCCCCTGCACGGCGAGGGGACATCGCCAGAGCCAGCGCTGCGCACCCGAGAGAAGGCTGAGCCCCCTCCAGCGATCCCCGTCTGTACCTGGATGATGCCGCATCCAGGCGCAACTGGCATCTCCCACGGAGGTGCCCGATGATGCCCACGCCGGGCACATCCCCTGCGCTGCCTCATCCCCTTCCTTCGCCCCGCGCTGCCCGCACGCCCGCGGGCTCCGGCGGCAAAGAATCCCTGCACGGGCACGCAGCCCCTCTGCCGGGGTGGCTCCGTGCTGATGACAGCAAACCAAAGGCATCCGCTCCTTTCCTTTCCCTTCCCGGGGAGTTTGGGGACGCTGTAACCCGAGGCAGCCCTCACCACCGAGGTGCTGAACACGCAGAATTTTCTCGCTGCCGTGCGAAAAAGAAGTTTTCCAGACTTCAGAGGGAAAGCGAAAAGCCAGAGCCGAGCCCCGGGGGAGCCGCGGGCGGCTCCGGCCGGGCAGGGGGGGATGCGAGCCGGCGATGGGGGCGAGTCCAGCCGCCTCCCCGACCCTTCGTGCCCGAACCCCGCGCCCCGTGCCCGGCAGAGGGGCTTGCGGGGCACCCGGGCTGGGGGGTTCACCCCGAAGAGACGCGCCCCGATCGCAGTGCGGGGAGTCCCCCCCGGCGCAGCTCAGCCCCTCCTGGTCCCTCCGGTCCTCCCGGACCCCCATCCCTCTTCCCGGAGCTCCCCCGCACGTCCCGCGGCGCTTCGCCGCCGCCTCCGCCCCCGCTCGTCCCCCTACCCGGAGCTCCCGGGCACGACCCCCTTCCCCGGTGCCCCCCGCGTGTCCCCCGTGCCCACCTCGGGTGGCCGCCGTGTCCTGGGCGCGGTGCGGGGCTGCGCGGGGCTCCCGGTGCCGGCCCGGCCGCAGCATCCCCGGCTCGGCGGCGGCGGAGGAGGAGCCTTGGATGGAGCCCCGCGCCCCGGGACCGCCCCGGCGCAGCCCCCGCCTTTGTGTGCCGGCCCCCGGCCGCCCCCAGCCCCGCCTCGGTCCCGCGGGGGGGAGAAGCGGGGGTTTGGCCGCTCGCTCTGGGGGCAAACGCTGAGGGAGAGGGGAGAGGTGCTGGGGGGGGGGGGGGAACGCGGGTAGATTGGGACTATCCCGGCACTGGGATTGAGTCTGGCGCTTTGGGAAGCCCTTGGGGAATAGAGCCGAGAGCCCGGGGTAAGCTGCGGGCACCGGGAGCGCGCCCGGCCGGGGAAGGTCCGGGCTGAAGTTCCTGTTTTGCTTGATTCGGAGCGAGCACTCGAAACCGAGCCTCCCATTAGCCCAGTTGGGGATGAGCAGCGGGGTGTGACCGACACATGTCACACCTAGTCCTCACGGCAAAAATAAGGCAAAGTTCCCAAGGCCTATGACCACCGGGAAGGGAGTCGGTGGGGCTGGGAATTGCTTTGGGAATTGCAGACCTGGGGGGGGGGGGGGATCGGCCTCCTGACCCCTCCTGGCCTCACCTGAGTGCCGATCAGTGCGAGGGATGCTCGGAGGGAAACCCCCGGCCATCTCCGCTGAATCCCCTTCCTGCAGGGCACGGGCTGGTCCCGCTTCTTGTAGCCCGAGCAGTTTGTGCCTGTCCACAGGTAAGGCCCATCCCGCTCGTGCAGGAGTGATTTTTCCAGCATCAGGAGGAACCCGAGCAGGTTTCCCACCACCCTGTGACTTTCCCAAGCAGGGAGCAGCACCCGGTGCATCCCTCGGTGCTCCCCGGAACCGGGCTGGCGGTGCAGTCACGTTCCCACATCCCTTCCCTCCCTGCACATGTGCCCCTGGGGAGGTCTGTTTGCCTCCCTCTGCCTCACCTGGTCGCTAATCTCTTCCTGCAGGAGGCAGGTTGTGCCGAGTTCGCCCTGGGCGCTGACGCAGCGCTCAGGAATCCGTGGGCAGCTGGAAGCACATCTGGACTTGCCCCGCGCGCGTGGGGCTGCGGGGCCGTGTCCCGCTCAGGTGTGTGGGGCTGTGTCCAGCTCAGGTGTGTGGGGCTGTGTCCCCCTCAGGTGTGTGGGGCTGTGTCCAGCTCAGGTGTGTGGGGCTGTGTCCAGCTCAGGTAATGCGGGGCTGTGTCCAGCTCAGGTGTGCGGGGCTGTGTCCAGCTCAGGTGTGTGGGGCTGTGTCCCACTCAGGTATGTGGGGCCGTGTC